AGTAACTATTAGAAATATAAATAATTATAATAAATTATCATATAACGCTATATTTATACGTAACATATTATATATCTCTACAATATTATATATAGTATCATAATATAATATCTAGTATATTCATTATAATACATATGCTCTATAATATATATATTATACTTTTTTAATATGTATAGTGTTATGTTATACCTCTCTAGTGTAATATCCTATTTGGCTGTTATAATCTTGAGAAAAATACCTTGTGAAGAATAGAATTTTATGTAATCATCTATTTATTTGTTATATTTAGGAGATGGTTTTGTTCCTGGTGCTATAAGAAAAATGTTGAAGCAATCGATACAGAAAACCCGGCAGGACCTGTGGGCTATTTATCATAATATTGTCATTATTATTATTATTATTATTATAATTCCTATCAGCTGTCATTAGTTCAGGGGTGATATCTCAGGTTCCATTGATCCTGTCGGCTCCGCCAGGACTCAGCACAGTCTGTGATTATGTGACCTGGTGTAATACTAATTTTAGAGTAATGATATGGAACAGCAGCCTTCCAGTGATAAGATGATATTAAAATAAATATGCATTCCAATGAGACTGAGTCATTTATGGGTTCTGCAGATAACAAGAGCACTCATCCATTTTACAGCAATATTGCCTACTGAGAAACGTGAAACTCTTCTGATTATTTCCCATCTGGTGATTTCAGAGAAGGAAATGCTGCATTCTGTATAAATGGAATGATTTAGGAATTATTTAGGTCTGGCAGTCACTGACTCAGAATGTCTCTGATCTAAGATGCAGAAGAATAAGAGTTTCAGTAATACTTCCCAGGGGTTTTTTTCCTGCAAAATGCAATTTATTTTTCTGAGCAAATCTCAAGGATTCCATCAGGATATTTTGTCACAACCTGTATTTCTCCTGTAACAATAACCTCATTAAAATTCAATTACAAATATATACAATATATGCAATTCAAAGTTCAATTTTACATTGATTTTACATTGATTTACATGGATTTTACATCAATTACTCATTAAAGTTCTTTAAACTGATCTTAACAAATCTGATGACCCGTTGCTTTTTGATATTCTCAATCACTCAAGACTGACTTCATTTTTCACTCAAATACATTCATTAAATAGAAAGTAACACTAGGAAAAACCCCATATTATTCAGATCTTTATTAAGAGTTTCAGCTGGAAAAAACTTTGACCATATCTCAAACTTGAGGAAGGCAAAATGACAATATACTCCACAGTGAAAACCAGTAGACTAAATCTAATGTTACCTATGTTATAAAAATGTTTTGAATGCTTTAAATTTAAGTTGACAGCCTGAGGTATTTTCTGTTTATTCTGTAACAACCAGTACTTTATTCCCAATTTATTTTTGTGCCAGGACAGACAGGATAATGTTGATAATGGGGACACAAAAGCTACAGGAGGCCTTGTTTTTTTATAGGGTACATGATCCTAATGCATACAGAAAACTGTGGGTTTATGGATGCTGGGGTTTTTTTCTTTTTTTTGTTAAACAGCAAGAAAACATCTCAAAACCAGTTAGTCACAGGTCATTATGTCTGCTCAATTGCACATCTAAAAGCAAAGAAATGCCAGATAACTGAGCTGCCTTCTGACTTGTGTCGTTTTTCTGGCAGAAGGACTTTGAAAATGCCATTAAAGGGCTTTTTGATATCCTCAAGGAAGAGCTGGGTAAACACAAGGCTCATGCCCTTAAATCTCCCACAGTCTGATGAAAACTCTCTGCCTCTTTTATTTGGCCATTGATTTTACTGGCCTTACCATGATTTATATATAATGATCCCTAAACTGTATGTTTGTAGTCTGTAATTGAAAGCACGCCTGGCATGGTAGAGTTGCAAATTTGCCTCAAAAATGGCTTTCTTGGTTAACAATTTTTCTCATGAACTTGGAAAACAATAGGTTTTTCTTCTTTCCCAGAGGATTTTCCCAGTGGTGGGGCTCAGACACAGGACAAAGATGCCAGTTTTGATCCCAGAGTCAGAAATGTGATTTTGCAATCAAACCAGAGCCCAGGGCCCCCTCTGCCTCTCAGGCTGGTGAGGCCTTGCCTTTGGAGCAGGAGGAATTAGATGGGAGAGTGTTTTTACTTCTTCTCTGGTGTGAGAAGCAAGGAGATAAAAAACTTTTGAAAAAATGCCACTTGGTTGATCACCTATTTAATTTTGTGCATGTTCTTTCCAAGCTGGCTGATGAAGTACAGGCTGTTCCCTTGAAGAAACTTCTACCTTCTGTTCACAGGAGAGTGCTAGATTTGTACTCCAAAACCAGGGAAACACAGGGAAGTGAGACAGCCTTGGAATTCTCAGAATACTGAGTGAGAGGCTCATTTAAACTTCCTACCTGTGCCAGGGCTTGTGCTATTATCAGTTCAGGACTGTTATGAAGAATGGTGGTAATACTTATTTGTTTGAAAAACCTCGCTTTACTAAGTTTCATCTAGGGTAAATATCTGGGCATGAATCATCGGAACTGACCAGAATTTCATTTCCAGTCTGACATCAATTATCAAAGCACCTTTGCTAAAACATTGCCTTCTGGGAAAATCAAGATGTTCCCATCAAAAAAACTCCTATAATATAAAGAAAAAAACCCCAAAAAACAGCATACAGAAATAAATACCCAAACAACAGAAGTAAAAGGGAAATGATGTTAGTATGAGTCACCTGACTGACTCTGTGTCTGGCGTAGATCAGGAGTGTTTCTGGAGCTGCCAGGGCATTTATTCAAAGTTAAAATACTGCTTACAGAAGGAGAATGACACACCATTATTTTCTCTGTGTACAGTTTCTGGAACTTGGATTTTTCTTTAATAATTTCCAGGCCTAAATGGATTACTGATACCTTCTGTGCTGGATTCCCTTCCATTTCATCTCTTATAGTAGACACACCTTGCCCAGATCTGCTGGCAGTTTCTAATCAGAGCTGTGAATGTAAAAAACAATGCCTACACGTGCTGCTCATGGTCTTTAAGCAATAAAATGCAATAAAATCCATCCCCAAAGGCCAGGGTGAGAGGATTTTCCTTTCAGTAAGAATCCAAACCTTTTCCCATCCCATCTGGGGCAGATGGTAGAAGAAAGGTCAGAAAATCATTTAATACAGAGAATGCCTCTCTTTACTCCTCTGATCTCCTACTTTCTCAGATAAAGTGTGGTAGATTTTCTTTATGCCCATTATCTCTATTTCATATCCTAAGGAAGTTTAAAATTAGGAAAGAAATTTCAGGTTTCTGCACAGCACTGCAGGGAGAAGAGATACCCCCCAGAAAATAAAGCAAAAAGCCTGTGGTGATGGAGAGAAAATCTGCAGTAGGTTTGATCCTGTTGCAAAGGTACTTCCTGAGGCCTGTCAATAAAAAAAAAAATCACACTAATAATATTTTTAGAGATTTCTTTCCCCTTTTAATAACTGTTGGGATCTTCCTTTAATAAACCTTGCATCTGGACAAGGGTGCCTGTGGAAAGCTGTGAATTTTCAAGTATTCAGTACTGTGTTTCAAGGCTTACTGAAGGCTCCTTAAACAAGGAAGGAAATTTATATATATGTGGTACAAATACAGTGGTCCTTTGGATACAAATGCCCTCCCTTCCCTCCACACAAACACAAAAATAAAAAAATCAAAGAAATACCTATCACTTTATTGCATCAGTTCAGAGTAATCTTTCTCAAACCCATAACTGAGATATGCTGCAAAAAAATTAATACACTACTTTCTTCATTTGCTTTCCGCTTTGACTGTTGAACACCTTTGCTTCAAAACTTCACTAGCAAACTTCATTTGCTTTCCACTGTGACTGCTTTTCAAGCCAAACCCCAGAGCTGTGGTGCAGTTTGAGTTCAGAGGGTGCTCACTGACATCCCTGGGGTCTCACCTGGCCATGGCTGGAACAAGGAGCTCTGCTCATGAGAGGCCATCAGAGAAGCCCAAGTGAAACCTGGTTGCCTGTGTAGAGCTGGAGGCCTAAATACAGAGCAAGAGGATTTGAAATAAAGTCAGTGAAAAATGTCAAAGCAGCTTCTTGTGGATTTCTTCTTAATTTTTCAATCATAATCAAATTTATGGCACTTGCAAAATTTTGGCTTGTCCTACTGTTGGTCTAGAAAGGGACTGAGAGCAAGAGGATGGGAGAGTTCCCCAAAATTTTGAACACCTTTTCCCCTTATTGTTGTTTCAGATGAGGAAAGGAAAAAGATAGGGTAAAGCAAATAAAAAGCCAATGTTGAAAGATACTTTCTGAACTCCCAAACTGTAAACTAGTTGTTGAAGTCTGTATCTAGACCTTTCTGTGCTCAGAAAAACTGAGGCACAGGCAAAGTTACAAAAGACCTTGTTTGGTTTTTTTTTACATATAAGTTTCCTCGCTTTCCTCTGAGGTTCTTGAACCAGGAAGAATTTCTCTTTTGTAGGCAGTTTCTGGTTCTTTGCTGGTTGGTCTTTCTGCATTTTTAATATCTGTCTTCTCTTTGCCATCTGGTTTGAAGCGTTTCATAATTAAAATAGAGAGTACTATGTACAAAAGACAGCATCCTGCCCGTAGTCCTGCAATGAGGCCAAGATACACATTCCTAGGGGGAAAAAAGGAACAAAATACATTTATATTAATAAAACTTTCCAATTCTGTATGGAACTGAATAGGTTATAAAGAGCAGTTTGACAAAACCCCCTATTGTCAGCCAGGTATTGCTCCACATTTGAAAATAGGAAATAACAGGCAGAAAGCAAATGACCTTGTGATATTTAGCCCCAGACAGGCTCAGACTTGCAGCAGAAGTGTCTGGGGTGTGCTGCCATCCAGCAGACTGTTTTAGGGCTGACAAAAGAGGGGCTGCACCAGCTGGGCCTTTTTGCCTGCTGTCCCTGTCCTTGCCCTGCTCCTCCCTGGCACACTCAGTGCTCCTGGACACAGCTCCCCAACCCTCCCTGCAAGGGGGTTTTGTGAGATTTCTTATACAACAGCAAACAAATAAATGAGGGATGAGGGAGAGAATCTGCAGAGTGCTCCACAGATTTTCAGCACCCCACAAATCCAAAGCGTCACAGAGTTACTCAGTGCACCTATTTCATTATTCAGTGCAGAGTACAACAAAAGAACTAATTCTCATTACTTCACGCAGTACCCAGCAATTTTAGATGTCAGACTGAATAAAAATTATTTGGTTTATTTACCTATGTAAGGTCTAGTCTGGGTTAGGAGTAGTAGACCCTAATCAGACAGCTGGCATGGGGAAAGCCCACCTTGTCCTTGCTGCCCAGATTCCCAAACCCCAGGGAGGATTACCTGAACTCTTTTGTGTCGTACACTCGGCAGGATCCTGATCCCCCACAGCTTTTTGTCCCCCATTTCAAGCAGGTCTCGTCTATCAAGGCACCAAAATAAATAGGGGCTGGCAGTCCTCCTGCAAAGAAAATTCTCATTACATGATCTCAGATATGGAGATCTCATCATTTAATGTCATGCAGAGAAGTCAGGAAGTGAATCTCCAGGTTTTTGAATTATGCCTGCATAGAATGGAACTAAACATCCAGTTCCAGCCTTGAGATGGCAAGATTTACTTAAGTACTTAAAGGGAGTTAAAACAATGGACTTAAAATAATAGCTTAATAATACCCAGCAAGGTAAATGTTAGCAATTCCCTTTAATGGTATTTTTATTAGAAGTTTAACTTCCTCAGTTTAAAGAAGTAATAAAACCAACATTTCTTTTGCAATGCCTGGTGTGGAATTCATATGTCATGCTATGACATATGAATATTTGTGTATATTGATGTATATATTCAGGTCTTGCCATTAAAAGGTGATTAGTGCAGTGCAAAGGGATGAAATTAAGCACTTGCTCCACAGAAACTGGGTAATGATTGTACTATTTATGTAGTACCGAAAGAATTTTTTTTAGACAGACAATAATGTTTTAATATCATCAGTGTGAGGGAGAGTGTGCAATTTTCTCAACTGTCCTGTAAAGTAGAAGATTGGTTCTCTGCAGTGTTCAGATAAAATATGGAGATTGGAAAAGAGATCCAATGACCACTTGGGCTTTTCTGCAAGGCAGAGATTTCAAAATCAGCAAACAAGGGAAGATGAGGCAAGGTTTGATTGGGGCAGGGCAGATTATGTGTCTGAATAATTAAATGATTGTTTATTGCAGATAAACTCAAGAAACAAAATAACAGGCAAAGTACATGGGAGCTTTAAGTGAATAATGGCCAGCAAAAGGGAGGGATATGCAGACTGATGAAGTTGTGTCCACAATTAAAAAAAAGAAGCTCAACAATAAAATGAAATTTCCTTCCTTTCCCTCATTTATTTTCAGTGTAGAGAAAAAATTTGAAGAGATAATCATAATATGTAAATACATAATAATAATGTTTAAATACCAGTTGATCATAATATGTAAATACCAGGAAATCATAATATGTAAATACCAGGAAATATGTAGTAAGCTCTTCCAAACATTTTGAAATGTAAAGTCTTCTTACAAAGAAAAATTTTGGAAAATTTATTTTGTTCCTGTCTGGGGCAAGGGCACTGCAATGGCTACCTCTGGTCTTCCTCTTTGGCTTTTGACTACCCACTTGAAAACCCCAAAGAAATTAAACCTTACCTAGTACTCTACCACCCAACGTTTCTATCCCAACAGCAAAGGATTTCAGGTCTGGCGAAACAGATCTGGAAAGGAAAAAAAAACAGAGTGTTGAGGAAAAGAAAAATGTGTCTACAGCCATGCTGAGAACATCTGCACATGCCCCACTGCAGGAATGCTGTGGCTTACCCAGCACAGCCCTCTGTAACCCTGACTGAGAACATCCAGCAGGGTAAAATTCAGATGTAAAGCCTCCTTCCACAGAACACCCATTGAAATGAATGCAAGAATCTACAGAAACTCATCTTGAACCAAAGGAAAGCAGGTTGGGAATACTTTTGGGAGATGATGCACAGGGACATGGAAGTGAACCCACCAAAATAAGAGAGTTCAGTTAAGCTGACCATTGTGATTCACCCATGAGCAGGAGGATAAAGACACTTCCATGTGACAGGCACAAAACATTGTATTTTCTTCTGAATGTAAAATAGTGCTGCTGCTTTCCAACTGAAGGAATTATTATTTTAAAAATATTCCTCCTATAATTCTGCTTCTGTCAGCTGGCCAAAAAAGTGGGAGTATCAGACTTCTCCTGACACAGAAGATATTGTGAGGCCACAAGGCTTGACAAAGGTACCTGTTTTTCTCTGAATAATGTGAACAGCACTGGCTATTGCTTAGCAATGCATCTCATTTCAAGTCCAATGCTCTGGTAAAAATATCCCTATCCCTGGAATTTAAACCTATCATTCAGGATCAGCATAATGCCCCCCCTTTCATCACCAAAGTATCTACTCAGCATCAAATTAGAATTAAATTTCTGGACAGATATTTTGCTCTGCCTCTGAAAAGAGCTGGATTTCAGAGCACAGGTAAATAAATCCTCAGGGGCACAATTTGATCCCCATGCCACTCCTCACAGCAGGAATGAAATAGTAGATATCAGTTTCTGTTCCTCTTTCCCCAAGCTTTATGGTCAAGGTAAGGTAAAGTATTTCACCTAAACATAATCATGTATGTAGGAGTGCCTCCTAAGGCTAAAATAAATGCACATGCAGTCTGTAATGCTAAAAAATAGGGAAAGGCTTTGGTACAGCTTTCTCTTTGGCATTGTCCCAAAACAGCAGAGGAGTTTCCAAGCCCGAGCCCTTGTCCTTCCACACAGCTGCAATTGTGGAACACCTGAAAGGAGAAGATGAGAAGAATTTATTTATTCAGAATTCAGCTTCAATAAACAACCATTTCATCAGCTGGATTTTTCACTGCCCATACCAGCCAGGCTGTGTAGATGCTGAAAACCCTTCTGTAATCATCTCTGCAGACTGATGGTCACTGATATGCTCCAGCCCCTCTCTGAGCTGCTCCACAGACACAAAGCAGCTGGAGTTCTAGTTTCAGCCATGCCACTGCTAGAACACAAGGTGCTCTGTGTGTGTTTAAAGTGGGTCAAAGCTAAAAAAATCAGATGTGCACTGCTATCCAGCCATTCTGTTCAGGTATCCCATGGAGAAGATGCATAACAGCAAGAAAAAATAGAGGTGTGGACCAAATATGCACCATGCATATAGACCATTAGGTGCTTAAACAGCATTTGGATTGATAATGGGCTTTGGAGTTAGAAGAACACATGGGTTTGAAGGCCAATTTTCCTGAAATGAAGCCGGAATATTGATGGGATGTTTAAATACAAGACTGATAATGTTGCTAGTCTTTTTCAGTATTGTCAGCGAAGACAATTCTGCCTCTGCCAGAAGATATAACCATTGGTACACTCTTGTGCAAACAGTGTTTTCAACAGTCTTGCTCAGGCAGGATTATTTGAAGTCTTGGAAATGGCTTTGCTGCTGATAAAAATGTCTTCCCTATATCTAGTCTATATCTATATATCCCTATATCTACTCCTTTTTAACTTAAAACCATTGCTCCTCATCCTATTGCAGAGCCATCTAAGCTCCTGGATATTTACCATATTCCTCCCTGCCCCAGATGATGATTTGCACCCTGCAAAGCAGGCTGTCATGTATGTGATCCCGTTGTCCCCACAGACAGGGTCCCACTGGTCCACCTTGCAGCTGCACTCAGCATTGCAGCTGGCTGTGTAGGTGTGCTTGCTGGAGGAAAGGTGCTTCATTCTGCAGGACAACAGGAGAAATTATGGAATTATTTAGTGGAACTTACAGTAAAAAAAAACAAGGAAAAAAAAAAAAGAAACCACCACACACCAAAAAAAAGCCAACCAAAAAAAAAAAAAACCCACCAAAAAAGCCCCATATATACATATATATATAAGGGAGTAGGCAGGAAAAACAGGGAGAAAGTGAAGTGATCAAAATGGACATATATCTGCACTGTGAAGCTGTCATATGGACACTAAGATAATTTCAGCTCAAAGTTCTCTTTGGGATTTTAATCAAGCAATAACATTTCTATGGGTTGCCACTGAGAAGGCATGGAAATCAAAAGGCTGGGTGGGAATATTTGGTATTAATTTTGCACATGAAAGTTCACCCCAAGAAGAGGAAAATCATAGCTAGAATCTCGTATCACAGAGACATGGCCCAAGGAAAAAACATAATTTTCTCAGCAGTAGGATATCATACAAAATCCAGGTGATAGAGGTAAGATATAAAAGCTTAAAAAAAGTACATAAAACCAAAACAGCAATTGACTTTTTTCAACTGGATCTAGCCCACTGTATCAGGATACTCTGAGCACATGTCAGCAGTGCTCAGTTTCCTAAAAATCATCCTTGCTGTGAGCTCAAATGCAAGGTAAAAATGTTCAAAACTTGCCTTTTTTCCCTCCTTCTCCCTTCCCTCAGCAAGAGCACACATGATGTGGCCTACATTTCCCCTAAGTCTCTTAGTGGGGAAGATAACTGAGGGATTTAGTCCTCATTGGGCTGTTGTCTTCAAAATATAAATTATGAAATAGGTAAAACACTAAATGGGTCACTTAACCAGAAACAACCACAGAAACAGAATTTGGCATGTGCCAAATCCTCCAGACTTAGTTCTCCTGGAGAAACTGCAAATGCTCTTTCAATATATTCTCTCTTGCTGTTGGTGCTTATTTTTTATTCACTCTGTGGCATCAGAGGTTGCACTCAACCAGTTAAAATCTATAAATATATAATATATATTATATATTATATATATGTGTGTGTCTATGTATATAATATTGTATATAAATATGTATATATGTATATATATAATATAAACAATAAACAACTTCTATAATAAACAACTATGCTAAAATAAGAACAAAGAAGCTGAGAAACCAAATACCAAAATCACAAGAACTAAGTAACAAACAACTATGAAACTCCTAAACTGCAACCAATCACAAATGCTAAGAAATGGAAACAAAAAAAAGAAAAGAAAAAAAAAATCAAAAAGTATATACTTAATGGTTTATAAAATCTATAAAATATATATAATGTAAACAATAAACAACTTCCACTTAATCATATTAGTCAATTATACAAGAGTCCTGCATTTCCCACAATAGCTTAAATTAAAGCTTTGAAATAGAATAAAGAAATGTAATTTGCCTGTAATAAATGTCAAATTTTTCAGCAATTTGCTGGAATATATAGGTATATTGTCAGAAACAGGGAATTTAGGAAAAAGATAATTTAGGAAAAATAAATATCCAGTTGAAACAAATTCGGAAAATAAAATTGGTATATTTTAACCATCCCCAGATTTAGGCAAGACTTCAGACTGCCAATTCTGTCTCAAAATCTGGGATTTTTTTCTGTGCACCACCCCAAAGAAGCAGCTGTGACAAATGTGACAAACCACCCTGTAGCAATGTATCTGAACAGTCAGGCCTCGGTGTGCACCAGCCACACCACTTGCAACTGCTCTTACCAGAATTTTCTCAGGGCACTATAGAATTCATCCAAGTTACTACAACATAAGCTATGCTAAAATTAGAATGAAGAAGCTGAGAAACCAAATACCAAAATCACAGGAACTAAGTAACAAAATTCTATGAAACACCTAAACGATAACCAATCACAAATGCTAAGAAATGGAAACAAAAAAAAAATCAAGAAGTATATAGTTAAAATATATATATGTACTTAATATATATAACTTATATATATTTATTTTATATATATATAAGTATACTTAATATATATAACACAAACAATAAACAACTTCTACTTAATTATATTAGTCAATTATACAAGAGTTCTAAATTTCTGACAACACCTTAAATTAAAGCTTTGAAATAGAATAAAGAAATGTAATTTGCCTGTAATAAATGTCAAATTTTTCAGAAATTTGCTGGAATATATAGGCACATTGTCAGAAACAGAGAATTTAGGAAAAAGAGAATTTTGGAAAAAAATAAATATCCAGTTTAAACGTATTTGGAAAATAAAATTGGGATATTTTCCCCATCCCCAGCTCTAGGCATGACTTCAGACTGCCATTCTGCCTCAGAAGGTGGGATTTTTCCTGTGCAGCACCCCGGAGAAGCAGCAGCCCCAGGTGAGGGGTACAGACCCAGCGTAGGGCGCGGTCAGCCCGGCCACCTGCAGCACCTCACAGCTGCACGTGAAGTACAGCAGGTTCAGCAGATACGCCACCACGAAGGTGATGCAGGCAAACTTGGCCATTTCAGTTATGTGGAGCTTGAATTTCTTGATCAGGAAGCCTCCCAGAAACATGCCCAGGATTGTGACGGGTAGAAGTATCACACCTGCAAAGAGACAGTAAAAAAAAATGTTAACTGCTCTCACTTGCATTGACTCTTTTAGAATAAATTTCTAAAATAAGTAGGTATATTTTATTCTATTTCTAGGATAAATAGGTATCAGATACCTACTTCTGGGCTGATTCTTTGAGATTCTAATATTTATATTACCTTCTAGTAATTTTACATCCCCATTTTCTTTCACAAATCATGTTATGACTTTAGAAAGCTCAACTCCTCAATATTCATTTTCACTATATTGTGGTTTGTATGTAAATATAACAAAACCTGTACAAGTGCCTATTAGAAACTGGAGTCAATGATAATGTCTTAGCTCATAAACTTCATATAAAATAAAACATAAAACTTTATGAAAGTTACAAAAAAGTCTCCAAAATAGAACATAAAGAAATTTGAAGTTCTGCTCTGGATTCCGTTTTGATCTGAGTGAATAATGAGATGATTTGCATTTAGATCTAATCTGCTCAGTATTTCACAAACACCAGCCCTTACTTGCTAAACAGAGAGGTTTGACAAGGTGTTATTGGCAGGGGTTTGCCTTTCTCTGGTTTTACTGTTGGTTGGTTTGCTTGGTCATTTCTGTAAAATTTTCTCAGCATTCAGGAAAAAAAAAATAGGATAAAGAAGGTTCTTCCCACATTTGTAGCTGACTGAGGCATTGTGTCTTCAGGTTAAAACAATTCAATATCAGTTCTGCAATGACCTCACATAGCCTGGTTTTCCTTCCAGATTATGAGACTATATCAATCACTGAAAGATTAATATAATTTCAGCATTCTTTTTTTTTGTAGACCGCTACAAAAATGTCAGCAGTTCTGAAGGAACTGCTAAATAGAAAAGCAGATTTGAAATTAATGAAGTTACTCAAACTTTTATATTTTGGTTTCTTATTGCTTATAAAATTTGGATTTGTAATCAAGATGACATTTATACCAATATGTTATTCTGAAAACAAAAAAACCCCACACATTTCATTAAACAGTTTAACATTTTTTTTCTATTAGTTTTTACTTAGTTGCAGCTGATATCTGATGTGTGGTTTTCAGTCATGGAAACAGACACAGCCCAAATCTCACTATGAAAAAAACTTCTACCCTGTTGTAATAATCCTCTAGATCACTGAATTAGGAGCACTAGGATAATTAACACTGAAATTAACATCCATTTTCAAAATACAGTAAGAAAATTAGGAAACCACTACGTGCTTTCTTTTTAACAAAAAAAAGTTCACATAAGCTCCTTCTAAAACAGAAGTCAAGATAACGAATAAAAGCTTCCTTTTTGACACTGGAATTTGAAATAAAGCAGGTACCTACCAATTAGAAAGATGGCTTTTGCCACTGACACATTGAATTGCTGCTCCATAAACTTTGTCTCATAGGTTATTATCCCAACAAGGGAATTGTACTGCAGAATAGTGAGGAAGATGAACACCACAAAAATTGGGTTTCCAAACAGCTTCCTGAGTGCTGGCAAGAAATCTGCAACAGAGAGGCGTATGCTGTACACCCTGCTAAACACAGAGAGGAGTTGTTTTGGCATCCTTTAGATAGTGAAATTAACTTTGGTTTAATTGCTAGCTGCTTGCAGGTTATAATTCTGTGCTTATCATAGCACATGATTGCCGAGGTGAGAGTTCTCATTGCCAACACGTGCCTGACTGGAGGAGCAGCCCAGGATGCTGAGCTGGGAATCAGGATCCTGGATTATCTGGTGTGTGGGGTAGGGCTCCTCAGGCTCACAGCACACCTCCTCCTCCTGCACCGAGCATTGACACCCTCCACCAAGAGTAAAATGTGGTTCCCAAAGCAGCAGCCTTCACCAGCCACACAAGGACCCCACAAGAGGGTGATGTTTAGAGAACAGAAGCACCTGGTCCCAAAAAAAGAAATCATTTCTGGGACCCTTTGTTAGAATATTAAAATCCATTAAAATAAAGTGGACATAAACACCTGCATTTAGACTGTATTCTGGCTCTGGCACAGCTGCCTAAAAGGTGAGAGTTCAAAACACATCTGGTGTGCACATATATACAAACAAACCTTGGGTCTAATACTAAAAATATAAAATTAAAAGCAATGGCTGGTTGGATCTGGTGTTTCCTATGAGATGAATTCAGCATCCCTGAGCTCAAACACAGGAACTACAAATCCTGTGGAGTCCCTCTAACATCTAAGGTAGCCACAAGGAGCTCCATGTTTCCTTGCCAAACAGTTGCCTCAGTTTCCTTGCCAATCCCAGCCTGCCCACTATGGATTGCTCATTAATGAGGATGGGATGTTTTCCCCTCTCCCTCTCCATAACCATGGGATTGTAGCTGTAATACATCACCACACAACTACAAACTAAGGATCTCTGCTGCTCAGGGAAACGGCACAAGTTTTACCCAGCTGTCTGACATCAGGAGAGGACTGAAACTCACCCTTAACATGTAATTGTAAGAGCACAAACTAATGACATTTTTGTTGGTTGTTTCCACTGCAGAAACCTGCATTTTGCTGGTTATGTGAGTCCATGGTCAGCCCACAACAAATCCATGAGACAGAATTCATATGCAAATATTTGGGCAATAATATTTCACCTTTTACTGCCTCTGAGAACTTTAACTGTGGCTGAGCTGGGGGGTCTATTTTACAGGGATCTCCTTGAACAGACAAGTGACTAATCTTCAAGTTTTCATTCTGTCCTTCTTTTGGTAAGGAATAGGGCAGAAACCAGAAAGGCAATGAAGCAATGAAGTTGACAGCTCCACAGATAAGCAATCCAAGCCACCAGGCACCAACCCAACGGGTGTCCTTAGGATTTATGCTGATGGCATCTATAAAACACAGAAAGACAGGAAAATGGGGTAAACATTATGCAGAGCGATTATTATAGATTATTATACATTACTGTATGTCCTCATATATATAAGTTAAAAAATAGAACAGAGGTCATCTACATCCCATAAGAAGAATGAAATGCAGCTTGTTTCAAATAATAGAATCATGGAATAGTTTATGTTGGAAGGGACCTTTAAGATCATCTTGTCCCACCCCCTGCTATGGGCAGGGACAATTCCACTGTCCCAGGTTGCTCAGAGCCCCATCCAACCTGGCCTTGGACACTCCCAGGGATGGGACAACCACAGCTGCTCTGGATAAATTGTGAATGACCAATCCCTGAAGGGAATTACTTCCATGCAGTCAAAAATAAATATGTACATTTAGACCCTCGGTGGCATTTCCTTGCCACAATCCTCCAATACTCTCTGGGGGAATGAGCAAAAGGACCTTTACCACAAAAAAACCCCAAAGTTTCAATTTCCCAGAGTGCCCTCCTTCTCCATCCCCAAACTCTACAGTTTTCCCCCAAAATTCCTCAATTTTTTTCTTGGTATTAGAAACTTTTAAGTGATTTGAACAACAACATGAGTTTTGAGATGAATCCTTGCTGGATGCTTTTTAAGAGAACAACTAAGTGTTGAAGTGCCCATGAGCCTTTCCCTGTTCTCTCAACATGGGGATTGCCTTTTATTCAACAAATCCTTTGTTCTCAGCTGCACAGCAAAGGTGTAGCAAGTGTGTGTGCAAGCATTAAAAAAAACAGTGGCTTTTTTCAAGGGCTATTCCAACCGCCCTACAACACCGGGTGTTAAAACCTCGATTTTTGAGCAGGAAAAGCTCTCCAGAGAGGTTGTGAGTGATCCCTCCCTGAGGAGAATCAGTCCTATGCAGTAAAAAATAAATATGTACATTTAGGCCCGGAGTGGCATTTCCTTGCCACAATCCTCCAATACTCTCTGGGGAAATGAGCAAAAGGAACTTTATCACAAAAAAAACCCCCTTCCCTTTCTCAATTTCCCAGAGTGCCCTCCTTCTCCATCCCCAAACTCTACAGTTTTTCCTCAATTTTTCCCTGGGATTAGAGACTTTTAAGTTTGAACAACAGATTTGAACAACAACATGAGTTTTGAGATGAATCCTTGCTGCATGCTTTTTAAGAGAACATACATTTTGCTAAGTGTAGAAAGTGTCCATGAGCCTTTCCCTGTTCTCTCAACATGGGGATTGCCTTTTATTCAACAAATCCTTTGTTCTCAGTTGCACAGCAAGGGTGTAACAAGTGTGTGTGCAAGCATTAAAAAAAAAAAAAACAGTGGGCTTTTTTCAAGGGCTATTCCAACCGCGCTACAACACCGGGTGTTAAAACCTCGATTTTTGAGCAGGAAAAGCTCTCCAGAGAGCCCCTGTTTTTGGGGCAGTGAGCTGGGAAGGTGTTTCTTGGCACAGAGGTTCCTACACCCAGACAGCTCCTGGCTGGCTGTGCCACCCCATCGGGGGTGGCCGTGGTGCCTCACCGATGTCCACGACGCCGACGTCAACCCAGAGGCTGGCACAGAAGGAGCCCAGCAGGAAGCCCAGCGTCGGCCCAAACATGCCCGAGGATCTCACCAGGCCTGCAGGATAAGGGAGACTGAGCAAAAAATCTGCATGGCCAAGGCAGGCCTTCCTCTCTGAGGGCGAGGAAAGGAGAGAGGAAGGAGCAGGCCATTACGGAATGTCCTGAGGTGCAAGCTGCCCTAAGCACAGCTGTGGTGGAGAGCAGAAGGTGGGATGCCCCTAGAAGAAAATGATTAAACTATGAATGCTGCCAGAAATCCACACTGCATTTTGCTGACTGGATGTGTAAATAAAGCACAATTTGGTTTTGGTTGCCACTAGTGGCAATCAACATAAAATGTCTTCTAAATAATTCAAGCATAGGTTCTCACGCTCCCTCGCCACATTGTGTTCTGTTGAAATTTAGTTGTGAGCAGGTGACAGGATCAAACTACAACTCAGTAATTTGGATTCCTGAATTCTAGAGCAGAACTGACACCTTAAAGTTGCAGAAGACTTCATTCCATTAGAAAATAAGGAATTATTTGCCAAATGCCTGTAAGTTCTTGCCCACACCCAGCACTGTGCTCTGTAAATCCTGCTGTGTTCTACTGCAGAGATTTTCCTCCAGAGAGAGTTGGTTTTGCAAAATCTCTCCTGAATGTAGTGACTGCTCAGTTTATCACCCAGAACTTCTGTAATAAATTGTTACATCTTAACAAATATGCCAAATTTTCTGTTCCTTCCCATGGCAACTATAATATTATTGCTGTCGCCACACTCCGCCAAAATTATTTTAGTTCATTCTATTAAGAAATAGAATGTCTCTGCCTCAAAATAACTTATGTTCTTACTCAACAAAACATTAAAGGACAAAGCAAAAAGGAGAGACAAAGCTGAGACTTCGTGTTCAGGGTAAAACAACAAGATTAATGCTCAAAATTCATCCACAAGCCTTGACTGACTTTTTATTATAGGACAATTATTTTTGTTGTTTGCATTTTACAAAAACACTGAGTAAAAATTGATTCAGCCAGATGATGAAAAATAAGATACAGAAAAGAATTAAATTTAGCCAAGAAAAGAAAGTTCTGTTCTATGGAAAAGACTGTTTCAACTTTCACTTTTTTTACAAAGTGATTCAGTCCACCAAAATGGAATAAGTGACTGAAAACTGCTATTCTGAATGTAAAAATGAAATATTTTATAAACTGTAAACTAAATACTTTATTTCCGTGGTGTAAATGAATTTCCATTTTCATTGAATCCATGTTTACATTATCTTTTTGATCTCCCTTGCCTGTCTCAATCTTTCCCACATTAAATTCTGACAAGGAAAAAATTCAGCTAAACTTTTTAAAATACCCTTAATCAGAAGCTCAGAGGTGATTACAAATATTTGGGATAACTGCTGAGTGGAATGCCTGTTTTTGACAGCTAACTCCACAACACTTCTCTTCAACCTGCAGATTTCCTCATTCCCAAGTGAAGACATTGGCTATGGCCTTACCCTGTAGCATCACATGCTGAGCTCTTCCTGAAACTGTGTCCTACTGTCTGTCTGACCAGCTCAGTTTCACCAAATTGACTTCAGGCCACACAAACATCCCCTGCTACCAAATCAGTTTGCCAACAAATCAATTAGCTTGGGTGTAAGTCTCTCTGTCTTGGGCAATAGGTTATGAGCCGTCAAAACAAGATCAAAGCCCCAATTAGAGAGGATTTGTTACAACACCCTGGAGAGGTGGTGTTTTTCCTTCAGCAAAGAGTGACTTTAAAAAGCTTTCAACTGGAAGTGTGCTGCATGTGAAATACAAAAAGTCAAGTAAGAGCTCCTGAAACACAATCACATTGCTGTAATTAATTGTGACTTCATTACAGATCCTCACGTTAAGGATCATTCCCTTATCTGTGAAATAGTGATTAGGAAGAATGTGGTTCTCTGAAGATGGGGTACCAAAGCTGATATGCCAGATATGATTTTGCACTTTGGGGAAATGAGTATTTGATTATGCTTCTCTTCATCACAGAAGCTCCTCTGGGAAAGCAAAAAGGCCATCCCAGAGCTATCCCTAGAAAATAAATGAGACCTCTTTTGCGCTGCTTGGGGCTTTTTTTTGTTTCTGTACAGCTCAAAGTTACCCAGATAATTTTTTTGTTGAGTATTTTCTTGACTATAGAAATGTTAGAGAACAGAATGTCTAGCCTAAAAATTATTAATTTGTACATTACCTATGTAAAATGCTGAGTTTTCTTCTTTAGAGAAATCATCAATATATGAAACTCCCAGAGGCATAATTGGTGCTTCCCCAATTCCACGCAGAAGGTTTCCCACCAGCACAAAAAGCCACAGATAGGAATTTGTTGTTTTCTCACATCCTGCAGGCCATAAACATTTATACTCCTGTGAACATAATTCTGACAATGATTTAGAGCAGCAGTAAAATAACATAAAATATGGGGATTAACAATCATTATAGGGTGGGTTTAATATATAAATATAATAGATAAACAATAATATCATGGTCTCTAGCAGGGGTTTTACTGCTTTCCAGTAAAAAAGGGTGTCCAACAGGGACAAGCAGACGAGAATCAAATATCAGAGTTTTATCTTACCAGCATTTATCACTGTGCTGAGTGTTTCTGTAGCATCTGTGGCTGGAGGGCCCTCAGACCCTGGGGAGCAAGCTGACACACTCGTGGAGGAGTTGTCCACGCTAACAGTTATCCTTTCATAATTGTAACTGGAAAACAACTGTGTGAAATACAACTGACACATGAAGGACTTTGCTCTGCAGGAAGCATGTCTGAGCCCCGTGTTCACACATGTTCATTCCTGTCTCACACACACAAAGTGGAGGGGAGGCCCATTCCCAGGGCTTGGCTTAAAAAAAAAAATTTGGTATCTTCATGCCATTTTCAAATGCTCTGATGATTCTAACCCCACTATTTTCCAGAGATAAAGAGCAACTAATCTGCTCCCAGAGATCATTCTTTAGACTGCAGGACAGAGGCAGAGCTCATCCACATCTGTGTTTTTCCATAATAGCACCTCTTTCTTACCTTTGTGGCAGATGCAACGATACCAAAGGTATGACCTGCATCTGACAATTATGTGTTGTAGCTTAAATGTGAATGGGGTATTTAGATATTTCATTCTCCCCAAGTTTAGATTAAAATCTTCAGCATTTTAAAGAGCCTATCATGAGTAGCCACCATGGAGAAAGAAACCTTTTCCATCAAGATCTAATTACAATTCACTTAAATATAGAAAAGGAAAACACAGTTTTAAAAAATTTCTATTTCTAATTATATTTATATTTATATCCATCCCAGGTGAAAAATTCAACCCTCTTTATCCTTAGTTATGCATAAGTTCTGTAGAAATCTCAGGTTTCTCTCCTGCTTACCTGTAGCAAGAGGTAAGCTTTCCTAAGAGAGGAAATCAGAAAGGCAATATTTAAAAATCCACCCATCTTCCTGTTGGAATAGCTGGAAGAAACCACTACTGTCAAGGTTTTAACTCAGGTGTATGCTTTGAAAACCACTTTGGATGATCAAGTTCCATCAGTGCATAACATGAAAATCTCCATATTTACCGTCCCATTAGGAACTGAGGCATCACTGACTTTCTATTTCTAATTATATTTATATTTATATCCATCCCAGGTGAAAAATTCAACCCTCTTTATCCTTAGTTATGCATAAGTTCTGTAGAAATCTCAGGTTTCTCTCCTGCTTACCTGTAGCAAGAGGTAAGCTTTCCTAAGAGAGGAAATCAGAAAGGCAATATTTAAAAATCCACCCATCTTCCTGTTGGAATAGCTGGAAGAAACCACTACTGTCAAGGTTTTAACTCAGGTGTATGCTTTGAAAACCACTTTGGATGATCAAGTTCCATCAGTGCATAACATGAAAATCTCCATATTTACCGTCCCATTAGGAACTGAGGCATCACTGACAAAAAAGCTCCTACAGACATGATGAGACACCCAACAGCAATTATTTTTGGCCTGTGAACTCTTGGTCCAAGGTAGCTCACCAACACCATCACCATTAAGTTACCTGCATCAACAGGAGAGAGAGCAAGCACAAAAAATAGGTTTTTTGGGAGTGAAACTGTGCTAAGAAGCACTTATCCACTTTCAAAATACATATACCTATCTCAAAGCTGCCATCAATAATGCCAACAATCGATGATGAGATTTCAAATCTCCTTTCAATCTGACTGGACATGCTCTTCATGTAGCTTCCAGAAAATCCTTTGGCAAAAAAGGAAAAAGCTAGAGCTCCAAGAAATATCTGAAGAGAGAAAATAATTGAGTTTGCAAAGTGACATTTTTTGCTTTACAGCTGGATGCCTGAGCAACCCACTCGAGAAGAACAAAAATCATAAGCTTTGCTTTCTAATTCTCTGTGAGTAGAATCTTCCTATTGTTGTCATTAAAACAGAATTTACTTTCTTTATCAGGGTGGCCTCAATTTTACTTCAAAGAGAACAAAAATTGACATTCTGGTATGCACCTTCTAACTTTCTAGAACATATTGGTCCAGCTGTTTCCTTCCTTAGGAAAAACTTGCAGCATAATGTTGCTTTTTCTGGCACTTATATCACATACTCATATCTGGTACTTATATCTTATCACCTCTCCTTCTCCTGTTCTAAAACACCTTAATAAAAATATATATCTGCAACTACCACTGTGACTATAGCACACTTTTAAATTAATTGTTGGTAAAATATGACCTCATTTTTCAACTTCTGAGTGCATTTATTGACTTCTGTGTGCTTGGAATCACAACCATAGAATAAGAATGGTTTGGGTTGGAAGGGACCTTAAAGATCATCCAGTCCCACCCCCTGCCATGGGCAGAGACACCTTCCACCAGACCAGGTTGCTCAGATCCCCATCCAACCTGGCCTTGGACTCTTCCAGGGATGGGACATCCACAGATTCTGTGGGCAGCCTGTGCCAGGGTATCCCCACCCTCACAATGAAGATTTTCTCCCTAATATCCCATCTAAACCCACTCTCTGTCAGTTTGAAGCCATTCCCTCTTTCAATATTCTCTCTTCATCTTTCTTGTTGGCTCCTTCAGGTCCTGGAAGGCCACAAGGAGGTGAGCCCTGAACCTTCTCTTCTCCAGTCCCAATTCTCCAGCCTTTCCTCCCAGCAGAGCTGCTCCATCCCTCTGTGTGCCTCCTCTGGGCTGGCTCCAGCAGCTCCAGCTGCTCCTGTGCTGGGGCCCCAGAGCTGGGGCAGCTCTGCAGGTGGAGTTTCAGCAGAGCAGGGCAGAATCCCCTCGCCCCCCTGCTGCCCAAATCCCTTCCATCCCCCTATGGATGCAGCCCAGACCATTTTTCCCACCACACATAGCAGCCAGCAGTGCCATACATAACTGAATTTTGATAAGATTTCAAATGGCAATTCAGTGTTCCATAGAAAATATGTGGTGAGGGCTCTTCCCTACCTTTAGCTTTGAACAATTATGGCACACAGTCTTGGCAGGAGCTGCACTGCCATCACTGTCCTGGAAGAGTGATTTTTCTTTAAGCTGGCCAGCAGTGATTGGTCTGTCCATGGTTTTCCTTCTCCAGGTCTGAATATAGGTCTTCCTGTTTGAAAAATATAGCCAAGTTTAACTATTATTGCCACAAGAATTGCATGTTCCGATGTTTTTCAGACATACTCAGTGGTGAGACACTGCTTGAGATATCTGCACGTTGACATCTTTTCTCATCTTTGAACACTCATTAAAGAGTGCTCAAAGTAACCACTGCAATTAATTAAGGACTGGTGCATCTGATTTGTGACATCTGTTTTCTAAAAGGCTCCAGGACTTTCTTGGACAGATGGAAAAGTTATGGATAACTTACTGAAGATTTTTAGAAATCTTTGTGGAAAAGGAAAGTGCCCAGGCAGCTGAAGGCTGGGACAGTTTGTCAGAAAAACATCTTCACCACGCTTGAGCCAATCCTTTCTGAGATATACATTTTTGATCACTGTTCCAGAATAAATGGACCTTTGGTGCAATCCGATAGGTTTCTGCTATTATATTTCTGAGATTTTCTTAGTGAACTCTACCATTTTTCTCAGTGAACTCTACCATTCAGCTAGCATTTGAATGAGTAACATTATTTATTGGATAAATCTTTGTAGAATCAGACCACAAATGATGACAGAGGAGAAAATAGGGTGAGCAGTATAGTAGGTAAAGATCTATTAAGGGGAAAGAGAGCACTGATCAAAAGAAACAAATAATGACTATCTGTAAGCCCACAAGCCTTTACAAGTTCCTGCAGGACAGATGATAAATGTAGATATTTTAATAAGACTGATAAAGTTTTAAGTCTAAAAGTTGGTTCTGATTCAAGGAGTCACCTTAGCTATGTTGGCTGGTATAGATTAAGATGATCAGGGGAAAGCAGCTAATACTGAGACATCTGGAATGATAAGTAAAAAAAAAATATCATTCCAAGCTTGTCTGTTGGAAAACTGGTGCAATAGTACCAAAATCAACCAGTCATCTCCTATACTAGAGGAATATACATCAAGAAACTGGCCTGTATAATTTTCCCCCAAGACCCTGGAATCTCAAATATGCCATGCTGTTTCAGTCACACAGGAGCTTTCCAGTTTTCCCTCCTGAGGGACCTGAAGCCAGCTGACCCAGGAGTGGAGCCCACCCAAGTGCTGTGGGGGATTTTTGACACCAGGGTTGTGGGGACGTGGCAGGGTCCCAGGATAATGCACAGGGACGAGGGACAAGGCAGGGTCCCAGGATAACCCACAGGGAGGAGGCAGGGTCCCAGGATAACCCACAGGGACATGGCAGGGTCCCAGGATAACGCACAGGGACGGGGCAGGGTCCCAGGACACCCCACAAACATCACCAGGTTCCTCTGAGGAGTTCATCTGTCCCAAGCAAGATTCCCAGAGCTACCTGGGTTCCCTGGGAAATGTTCACCTATGCCAGAAAGGACAACACGCTCAGAAACCCCACAATCCCCCAGAAGCTACTCCTAACCACTAAAAATAGGCACTAATGCCTCATAAAGAGATATAAAGCCTCACAAGGACTCTGACTTGATTTTTGTAAATTTTAGTTCCAAATCCTGCTCCGGTAGGAGGGGACTGTGCAAAGCAAACATGTATATTTCAGACAAAGCCCCATATGACATTTCCAAAGGGACCTAACCTTCCTTAGACCATCTTCAGCAACTTCTAAATAAAAAGAATAACATTTCAAAAGTAAGCTATAGATAAATAAAGTATGGTGAAGTCAGACTTACCCCAGTCTTTATAGGATAGGAGCTGAAAGACAGAGTTCTCTAAAGCAAATACATTCTTTATTGATTTGTATTTTGCTGATGATTAACTTTGTGCAACATCTGACTCTGGTAAATAAACAGGATCTCAATCAGTGACGTGGTTTTCTTTTCAATCTATCAAATTTTAAATATAAAATGTTATTTATGGTGCCAGACTAATAATCTACCTGAAACTCACAGAAAATGTTAACTTGTAGAAACAGTTCTCTTACCTAATTGAACTGTACCTAATTGAGCAATTACATTTTCGATAACCACTCTATGAGAATCTGAACTTTGGTAAACCAGTGAATCATTGACACCAGTGGTATTTAAAATTAAGCAAAAAAAATTATAAAAGATTTAATTTATGAATTACGGTCAATGGATAATTTTTCTACAGAGGGATAAAATACCCTGCTCCCGACGGGAGCAACAGCACTTATCCTTTTAAAATAATTGAATTTGCAGAATTGTACCTTTGCACTTTACATAAATCTTTCAAGTTGAATGACAACGAGACGTGCAGAAAGGCTGCACTAGGAGCTCACAAGTGAACAAACAAACAAAGTAACTCCAAAAGGAAGGGAGCAGGGAGGGAGGGACAGAGAGAGCACTCACTTACTGTGTGTCAGAGCGGTGTCAGGCTGTTCCTCTGCCGTGCCCCAGGCTCCAGGCTGGGAGCCAGCGCAGCGTCACGGCCAAAGCTGTGACACAGCCTGCTCCCAGAAGTGGAGCACCTCACCACATGGCTCTTAAACCTTGGATTTCCTTCTTATGGTGATTGCAAAACTGCCCCCAGTCAGCGGTACCGGAGCAGTGCAGAAGGAGGCAGGTCTGGTGCTGTCCCTGCTTTGGCAGCCTACCTGCCCGCAGTGCCAGCCTCTCCTGGCTGGAACAACTTGTTTTCTTCCCTCTTTTTTTTTTTCTTTTTTTTTTTTTTTTTTTCCTTCCCTGATGTCTAAACATTGGAGCTGCATCAAGCACCTCTCAAAGGGAGCTCCCCACCATCCACCCAACAAGCATGGAGTGGCTCAGCTTTTCCAAGCACCTGCAGCCTCCCAGCTTTCACTCTTGGTGCCTTGGAGCAGGGTCACACAAACACCAAGGGATGGCTGAGCTCCTGGGGGGGCACGAACAGCTCATGGACATCGGCCAGTTTTGGGTTTGAGCCCTCTGTGCCCCAGCCCCAATGCAGAGGTTTGCATGCAGAGCCTTGATTATCTTCTTCTGCACAAAAGTACACTAAGGGATTTGCTAAATACTAAATGAACTCAATTATTTATGAGTTATGGAATTGTGGAATCACAACATTTAGAACTAAAAAAAAAAACCTTATGAAAGCTAAAATGAAGTTATAAACTTGCTGAGTACATAAATATGCAAGCTCTCTCTCATTGCCCCCTGAAGCTTCCAGGTTAACTGCAGTCATTTTATCTGCCATATTTGCACTTGTTATTGGATTTTGCTTGATAGAATTTTACACATTTTACTGTGATCATTATATATTACATATTATATATTATTATATACTATGTTATATATTATATATACTATGTAATATATAATATATTATATAAATATGGGTCTTAATTTAAAGTTTCAATTTTTCTCTTTTACCAGCACAACTATATGCTCTCTATATTTGCCCTCAGTGAGCAGAGGAAAACACAGCTCATTTCTACCATTTAATAAGAATATTTGCAAGAGAACAAGGTGTTATTTTCTATGATCATTTTAATGTAGTGATCCTGCGTTACTATTTAAATGCTGACTCCTTGTTTAATTAATTTAGTTTTAATGCAAGGGAACAATGTAGATGTTGAAACTCACTTTCTCTTAAAAGAGTTCAGAATATGGGAAATCCATCAAACCTATTCTTCAGATAAATTGATTCTCATTTGCATACTTTTACTCAGGTGAAGAACATTTATCTTTGCCTACTCCTTAATGCCTTAATTATTTTAATTTTTTTCAATGTTTAAAAAGCTTAGATTCATTTACCAGAATATCATTCCAATTAAGCAGATTTTGCATCATCTGACAATGTCAAATTTACACATACTACAACCTGCATTTGGACTGCTTTTAAATATTAACTATCAACTACAACATTGCAAAGCTAGCAGGAAAAAAATGTATGAACATTAGCAATGGGTTCCCTATTTATTGTCAGTCTGCAACCAGGTGGAAAAGTGAAGTCTGTTGGAAAGGCCCTGCAAGCCCATTGTGTGTCAGGAGAGCAGGCTCTAAAACACAGATCCCAAGATGAGACATCCACAAGAAATGTGTTTTAAAGCTGAATACACAGAAGTTTGTGTGTAGGGGAATCAAACCTATTCTTCAGATAAATTGATTCTCATTTGCATACTTTTACTCAGGTGAAGAACATTTATCTTTGCCTACTCCTTAATGCCTTAATTATTTTAATTTTTTTCAATGTTTAAAAAGCTTAGATTCATTTACCAGAATATCATTCCAATTAAGCAGATTTTGCATCATCTGACAATGTCAAATTTACACATACTGCAACCTGCATTTGGACTGCTTTTAACTATTACAACATTGCAAAGCTAGCAGGAAAAAATTGTATGAACATTAGCAATGGATTCCCTATTTATTCTCGTCAGTCTGCAACCAAGTGGAAAAAGTGAAGTCTGTTGGAAAGGCCCTGCAAGCCCATTGTGTGTCAGGAGAGCAGGCTCTAAAACACAGATCCCAAGATGAGACATCCACAAGAAATGTGTTTTAAAGCTGAATACACAGAAGTTTGTGTGTAGGGGACATGATTGCTGTGCTCCTGGCATACAGATGGCAATACCCACTCACAAGGCAGCCCCACATGGTTTCAGACACACCCAGATGAGCCACCCAGGATCACCTTAGAGGAGGGAAAAGAAGTATTTCCAAAGGCATGGGTTCTTTGATCTAGCCTAGATACTTACTTTGGGTAGGAGATGGGATGAGCTCCAGATATGGCTATGAAAGGCTGGACAGCCAAGATCAGCTTTTGGCAACAGAAAGTCAGGAGAGATGAATCCCACCATAAAAAACTTCATGAAAACAATCTTCTGCAGCTATTGCAACCTGAGCTGCAGTGCCTGTGGCAGCATTTGCCATCATGCCTCATCCAAAGCAGTTGTGATACAGCAGCTGCTGGCAGGTGAGAACTTCCTTCCTTGCTATGGAAGGGCAGTCCTGGTGGGGCAAGTCCTGGAGGAGCACAGCACCAGAGCCAACAATTTAAAAAAACCAAAAAGAATAGGAAAAAGAAGAGGATATCTGAACATGCCACACCGTGGGCTGTTGTGTCAGCCACCAGCCTGACAGCTGGCTGTACTGGGAACCTGTTCTGCAAGGCCCATGGCAGCACAGAAACTCAGAAACAGGAGAGCAGGTTAGCAAAGAGAAAGTGCTTACTGCTGCTGCTGCTGTTTCCAGCCCCGCCAGGGCTGGTTGTGACAGCCTGTGTGCCCAGGGCTGGCTGGGACAGCCTGTGTGCCCAGGGCTGGCTGGGACAGCCTGTGTGCCCTCAGGAGAGCAGGTTAGCAATGAGGAAGTGCTTGCTGCTGCTGCAGTGCTGCTGCTGCTTCCAGCCTCACCAGGGCTGGCTGGGACAGTCTGTGTGCCCAGGGCTGGCTGCCAGAGCCCCCTGCAAACAGCCCCAGGAGCTGCCTCCTCCCAGGCTGGCTGTGCAGCATCACCTTCCACCTTCCCAAGCGGAACCACATCCAAAAGGTGCAAGAGGTTCTGGGGCCGGGGAACCCCTATAATAACATCTTCAAAACTCCACTTTTCACCCATGATTAATTCATTATTTCTCTTCTTAAACGTCTGTGACTTGTGACTCTTCATACAAGGTTGGTAATTTGCTCCATGGGTTAAGATCGAAATCCCAAGTGTCTCTGGCTTCCTGCCAGGACTCCCAAGCCCCCTGCCAGGGGTGTGTGTCACCCAGGGCACCCAGAGGGTTCTGACAAGTGCTCAGCCATCTCCTTCCCCCAAGAGGTTATTTTGTGTGGCTGTCACTGCAGAAAGTGCAGAATTTTTAGCCCTGGCCTCCTGCCACACTGAGGTGAAGCAGATCATCTCATTCATCGTCGGAGAGAACTCTGCATGAAGGGGACCCACTTGTCACTGCTTCAGCTGTCCCTGGTTGCACTGGTGGAGCTTTCCTGCCAAACACAGCCCCAGCCTGCAGCAGCCAAGCCCAAGTGCCAAGCTGGCAGCCAGAGCGCCGTGTGTGCTGATGGGGCTGGTGCGTGTCATCCAGGGCACCCAGAGGGGTGTTCTGGGTTCTGACAAGTGCTCAGCCATCTCCTTCCCCCAAGAGGTTATTTTGTGTGGCTGTCACTGCAGAAAGTGCAGAATTTTTAGCCCTGGCCTACAAGTACACTGAGGTGAAGCAGATCATCTCATTCATCGTCGGAGAGAACTCTGCATGAAGGGGACCCACTTGTCACTGCTTCAGCTGTCCCTGGTTGCACTGGTGGAGCTTTCCTGCCAAACACAGCCCCAGCCTGCAGCAGCCAAGCCCAAGTGCCAAGCTGGCAGCCAGAGCGCCGTGTGTGCTGATGGGGCTGCAAGGGAGCTCGGTGTGCAAGTCACACCAGGAGCTCTCAGTCACAGAGGGAGGGGGAACGCGAATTCTGACAGAGCTCCGCACAAGGGGACCCACTTGTCACTGCTTCAGCTGTCCCTGGTTGCACTGGTGGAGCTTTCCTGCCAAACACAGCCCCAGCCTGCAGCAGCCAAGCCCAAGTGCCAAGCTGGCAGCCAGAGCGCCGTGTGTGCTGATGGGGCTGCAAGGGAGCTCGGTCTGCAAGTCACACCAGGAGCTCTCAGTCACAGAGGGAGGAGGAACGCGAATTCTGACGGATTGTACCCTGCTCCTGCTGAAACACTGAAGGACAGCACGTGCAAAAAGAGGGGATAAAAACAGTTAATCCTGTGCTTCAATACAAAAAGAGTTCTTAGAGGTATGATTTGCACATGAGTCATTCAGTCTTTTTCCTGACACCAATTTTTCACCTCTGGAAGAGTGCATAGAGGAATTGGGGTTGCTAAGCCAAGCAATCATTGGATCTTATTTTACTAATTCCAGCCTCTTTAGGTCCCAAAGAAAATTCACAAAAGACAGATACAAGTGGCAAAAATAATTTCAAAGTGCTCTTCTTTGAGAATATTCTCTTGTAAAACTTAATTTGGCAACTCTTCAGAGGCATCCTGCAAAATTGATGCCATCTAACTCTGCAGTAAGGGAATTTTCCCCCCAAAGATGGGACCCTACTGAGTACTCTTGTGTAAAAAACTCCAACAGTAACAGTAGTAGATGAAAAGTGTTATGATCCCTTCCAACTGTAAGACAGGTATTACATGTATGCTTATATGGGAAACAATAGTATTAACCTTGGAGAAATAGACATTAAAAGTTATTGCAACCCATAACATTTTTAGCAAGTTGTGCCTTTGCATTTAGATATAATTTGTGCTTTAATTAATCAGGCTTCTGAAAAAGAACAGGATATCTGAAAAAAACCAAGTTTTTGTCAGAATTTATGTAAGACTTCCAGTCTGAATCTCTAGCACATGCTGGAACAATGCCCTAACCTGAATAAAGGAATTACTGTTAGGATGCACCCTAATCTTACAAATAAAACATCACAAGATTTGAGCAGCCCAAAGAGGGGATGCTTTCAAAGCTGAAAAGGAAAAGTTAAACTGCCACTGACAACCTTTGGAAAAGGGATGCCCACTTCAATGTATGCCTTTGGAAATCACCT